ACAGAAATTTTTGCCGTTGGAATTTTTCGTTGGAATTGAAGTGTTTTCTTGTAGTGTATGTTTGTCCCTTCGAAACTACAACCGAATTTAAATCTTATCAAACATGCTATAATGAGTTGGAGAATTCGTTAAGAAAAGGCATAATAATCACACGCTTGAGATTAACTTCTTCTATTTTGATTTAGCGGTCCACATTACAAAAAAGGGTTAAAATCTTTTTCACCCCGTTATAAATCTATTCTTTCTTTTACACATCGTCCCATCAAATAACTTCTTTTACACCCCAAAACTCACAAAATGCTATGCGATATTACAGTCGCATGTCCAAATCAACCAGCGCATATCCAACGGACGCATAATTTATGACTATGCGAAAATATTTCGCATTTTTGTTATCGCATATCCACATGAAACGCATAATTTACAAATATGCGAACATCTTTTGCAGTTTTAAGAATCGCATATCAAAATCGAATGAAACATAATTTACGATGATTATGCGCCTTATTTCGCAGGGCTATATCGACCTTGCAAATTTATGACTATGCGAAAACTTTTCGCCTATAATTCACATTATTTGTTGAATTCGCATTTTCTGGAAATTGCATATCCAAGTCAATCACATAATTTACTAGTATGCGAAAAACTTTCGCATATATCCGCCGGATAATTGACAATGATGCGACATTTTTTTGCTCGCATATTGAAGAATCGCATAACAAAATTGAATAAAGCATAATTTAATTGACGATTACGCGCCATTTTTTCGCAGGGTCATATCGTCATGGAAATTTTATGACTATTCGGAATTTGATCGCATATCTGTCGCATAAGTTACGCATCTCATTAATTGACTGCTTTTTCACAGGTGAGGATTTTGTTTTTGCATTTATCATTCAGACAAAATACAGTAATCTCTAACAATTCAACGTCTTCACCATTCTTCTCTACTGCAATTTTCTGTTTCTTTCATTTTAATTCCTTTTGTTGTTCACTTATTTGAATGGCTAGCACCCGTGTTAGAGTATGCGTGAGCTATGGTGGTACGTTTTCTGGGGGTTCATATCTTGGTGGAGTGGCAGAGCTGATGAGAATAAATTACGGCCGACAAATGTACTCTAAAGTAGTTTCTCGTGTTCAAGCATTATTGAAGGCCGATCCTTGTAATTTTGAGTACATACTGTGGGCAGTATTTGATGGAAGGGAACGAAAAGTGAAGATGAAAATCGAATCCAGTGAGGATATCTTAGAGCTGATTGAAGAACAAAAAACTCTTGACATTTACGTGGAGTTGGAGAAGTGAGTAAATGTAGGTGTTCCGGGGACGGCGCAACAAAGCTTCACGCAAATGATGGCGTCCCAAGGTGTATTTTCGAGTTCTTTTGGTGTTGGTAGTTCTGCATTTTCCCACGAGGCCTCATATTAACATTAAGCAGGCCCTAGTTCATTTACACATACTGGATATCCTCGGGGCACTGATGATCAAATCGCGGGTTGTTCGAACCAACCAGGTCATTCTCGTAACGATGACAATAATGATGACCAAACCAACACGCACAATAGTGACTCAGGCGACAAAGACAAAGAGGTACATGAGAAGCAAATGTTCAAGCTTTTCAGGGCGTGGTATAGCGAGCATATTCAAGAGCTAAGATTAATCACCGACCATATTGAGGTTGAAAGTCTTGCATATATGAATAGAGGTAGCACCCGGAAATCCAATGTTGAGCCACGAATGTGGTCCCTTCCTATGCCGCCCACGACAACTGGATCAGATAGACAACCCATCCACTTACCCTCGAACAATATAGAATTATCTTTGAGGTTTGTCTTTCTTTCTAAAGATGAGTTGATTTGTGCCATTCAACTGTATCACTTGCAACAAAAAGTTGAGTGTCGAACACCCAAATCCTGCACTTCTAGGTTATAATCTGTTTTTCGGTATGAAGGGTGTTCTTACAAGTTATGTGCAATGGCAAAGCGACATGTATAGAGAATCACTACTTTGAAACTCGAGCATACATGCAAAGGGAGTTTGACGCACAATCGACACCGTTCGGCTAATTCCAAGGTTCTCGCTCATATTTATGCATCAACTATTCAGACAAATCCCCAGACGGTATCTACACGGAGAAATATTGAACAAATATGGGAGGAGCATGGTTTGTCGATCAGCTACAATGTGTCCCTCCGAGCAAGACACCATGCTTTTGAAAAAAATTATGGAGGTCATGAAGAATCATGGGGGCGACTTCCCGGTTACTTGCACATGTTGCAGGTTCGTAACCCAGGTACAATTGTCGAACTGCGACGAGATGGTGAGGTATTCCAACACTTGTTCTTTGCTCTAGGAGCTAGCATTGAGGGCTTTCAACGAGCTGGTGTCCCGGTAATTGTGATAGACGGTACCCACTTGAAAGGAAAATACAAGGGCATTATGTTTGCTGCAACCACATTGGACGGGAATCACCAAATCTTTCCCCTCGCAGTTGGCATTGGTGATGTAGAGTGTCGTGAGACTTGGAGTTGGTTTTTGACTCAATTGAAAAGGGCTTATGGTTGTCCTGATAACCTCCTCATCGTATCGGATAGACATGAGTCTATCATATATTGTGTCCCAATAGTGTTCCCTGAGGCGCATCATTCATTTTGTTGTTATCACATCACAAAACAAATGAGGCCTTTTGGGAAATCTGTCTTGGGCATATTTTACAAGGCGGCATATCATTATCGGCGTGAAAACTTCTATCGTTACAAGTCATCCATCCAAAGCCTAAAATTCGAAGCATTTAAAAAGCTAATTAATGAAATTTCGGTAAATGCTTGGGCGAGGTGTTTTACACCTGTACGACGCTATGGATTCATGACATCTAATTCATGCGAAAGTTTGAACAACAAACTCCGTTGGGCTAGGATGTTACCCGTTTGCTCGTTGTTGGAGTGTGTTCGAGCAACGATAGGGTTTGCTGTTCGGCGTGCATCCGTCGACGGTCGCAATCATCCGCTAACGCAGTGGACTCAATCGCGGTTGGATCCTTTGTTCGAGAAAGGTCGTACTCTATCCATTACCACACTCGGCATGCAACGTTATAGGGTTATGGAAGAAACACGATCCTACGTGGTAGATTTAGAGGTAAGAAAATGTGATTGTCGTGTGTTTGAACCAGATCTACTACCTTGATTACATGCATCTACGGCTATTCGGTAATGTTTACCAAACAACATTATCGCTTTTTTCTTGAAAAAAAAATTGCTATAAATATGATGTGCATTTACGATATGTAACAGGAAAGCTGGGTTAGATATAATGGATTTCGTTAATGACCATTACAAAACCTACTCAGTTGCAAGGATGTACCAAAGCACCGTTAGCCCCGTCCCGCATCCAGATGAATGGCACTTGCCCCAGGAAATTATGCGTAAAAAGGTAATTCCGCCAAATGATCCCAAACAATCAGGTCAGCCACGGACTCAACGTTATTCCGCTGGAGAAGGATCATCACGTCGAGTACGACGTCAGTAGATGTGCTCACGGTGCGGGGTCACCGGTCATAATAGGGCAAAGTGCCCTCTATACGATGGTGAGAATGACTCTTTTTCAAATGAAGAAGGTCAAAACGCACCAACTCCTCATCCAAGATGTAACGCCCCATATTTTATTGATAAAGGAAAATACTAGCTTTCGAGTATAAGCTAACCTTTGTTAATAAATGTTCATGTTAATGTTCAAGTTTAAGTTATTCAGTCAGTTAAATTCCGAGTTCAACGTTAAGTCGAAAGTATATCCGGTTAATTTTATTTATTAACCGAGTTAATTCCAATAATTAGTCTCAGTCCGTTTATTTTTATAAATGGACATAGTAAATTCGGAGTTAATTATTCCAGTCAAGATTCTTCGAAATTAATTTTCGAAGTCATGTTCATGTTCGGAATAAGTTAATTATTTAAGTACCAAAGGAATTAATCAGGTTTAGCTAAATAATTAAGCACTTAGAGTTGTGCTTAATTAAAAATTTCACGCATGCTCAACCCATTAAAATGCCCAAATGCCGTGGGTTTTTTTTTAAGGGAAAATGTCATGGGAAGTTTATCATTCTTTAAGCATGAGGTGTCTCTTTTTTTAAACCTTAAGCAATGACTAAGCTTATTAGAAGAAGAATAAGCATTTCTTAAGTCCTAACATCTAGCATTTGGCAAAAGGTGTGCATCGGCACTTGATACACACGAGTGGGCGAATGAGCAGCGCACGCGGGATTGGCAGGGAGTACGGGGGCGCAAGATGAATGGGTGCACGGGTGCACGCGGGGACACCGTGGGCAATGCTGGCCGGGGCAGTGGCTGGGACACGCGCAAGTGGGCAGGCAGGCGCGAGATTAGCGCGAAAGGATTAGGCGTGCGCGACAATCGCGTG